TTTTTTATTTAAATTAAAAATATTTTTAATTAAAAATTTTTTATTTACAGGTGAAAAGGGAGATATTGTAAAAATTAGAGGACCCAAAGAAGATGTAGACAAGTGCCATAAGTATTTAATGAAATTAGTAAAAGAACTGAATGAAAATAATTATGTCTTAGAGGTACCTATTTTTAAGCAATTTCATAAGTTTGTCATTGGAAAAGGTGGAGTTAATATTCGTAAAGTTGGTATCCAAATATTTTATTTTTATATATTTTTAAAATAAATTACAAATATAACATATATATTATCTTAATTTTTTAATTTTTAGATTAGAGAAGAAACACAAACTAAAATTGATTTACCTGCTGAAGGTGAAAAAAGCGATGTTATAACTATCACGGGCAAAAAAGAAAACGTGGAGAAAGCTAAAGAAATGATTCAAAAAATACAAAATGAATTGGTAATATTAATATTCTTATAAAAATATTGAATTATTAATTTTAATTTATATTAAGTAATTTTTTGTATTAGGCCAATATTATTACTGATGAGATAGTAATACCACCAAAATTTTATAATTCTCTTATTGGTACTGGTGGAAAATTAATTCATTCTATTATGGAAGATTGTGGTGGTGTTGCAATTAAATTTCCTACAGCAGAGAGTCGAAGTGATAAGGTAATTTAATTTGAAACTATTAGAATTAAATGTATAAATATTAAAATATTTTGTTCATAGGTAACTATTAGAGGGCCTAAAGAAGATGTTGAAAAAGCGAAACAACAGTTGCTTGAACTTACAAATGAAAAGCAATTGTCCAGTTATTCAGCTGAAGTACGTGCCAAAGTACAACATCATAAATTTCTTATTGGAAAGAATGGTGCTAATATTAAAAAAGTTAGTTATTTAATAATATAACTTATATTATATAATTACATATAATGTGTTATGATATGTTATATTTGATTATATATGTCATGTTTTATTTGATTTATTTAATTAGATAAGAGAATCCACAGGAGCACGTATTATATTTCCAACAGAAGATGATCAAGATAAAGAAGTAATTACAATAATGGGAAAAAAAGAAGCTGTTGAAAAAGCTAAAGCTGAATTAGAAGCTACAATTAGCGAAATTGTAAATCTTTAATCATAGTTATTTTTAATTATATTGAAATCTGTCTTTAATATTAAAATTATTTTTCATATAAATCAAATTATTTTTTATATTTGATCTATTTTATAGGATAATATTACTGAAGGTGAAATTCGTATCGATCCGAAACATCATAGACATTTTGTAGCTCGAAGAGGAGGTGTATTACATCGTATAGCAGATGAATGTGGAGGAGTACAAATTTCATTTCCACGAGCTGGTGTCGATAGTGATCGTGTAATTTTGAAAGGATCGCATGAATGTATAGAAGCAGCGAAACAACGGATGCGTGAAATTGTACAAGAATTGGTAAATTTTTTAACTTGTATTTTTTTTTTATTTGTTGTATATTCTTATAATTATTTTATATATAATTATTACTTTTTAGGAATCAATGGTAACAGAAGAATGCATAATACTTCAAAAACATCATCGTACAGTTATGGGAGCAAAGGGACGTAAAGTGCAAATGATTACATCTGAATATGATGTACAAATTAAATTTCCTGATCGGGATACATATGGTTAATTTAAAATTAATTGAAATTTAAAAAAAAAAAATTATAAAATTTGTAATTAAGACATTCATGTTTTAGATGAACAACGTGTAGTAGAACAAATGAATGGTGAAAATGGTGAAATTTCTGAAACTGTTCCAGCTTGTGATATTATTCGTATCACAGGACAACCAGAGAATGTTGCAGCTGCTAAACAAGCACTGCTTGATCTTGTACCAATTACAATAGAAGTTAATATTGTTATTAGTAATTATATATCAAATAATTTAATAATTAACAAAGAATTACATAATTTTAACATAATTTTTAGGTAGAGGTACCATTTGACCTTCATCGCTCTATAATAGGACAAAAAGGTCGTGATGTGCGAGAATTAATGAATACATATGATGTTCATATCATGTTATCTCCAGCGGAGGAAAAACTTGATTATATTAAGGTATATATATATATATGTAAATATAATATGATATTTAATATTAAGATATAATATTAATATAATATTTAATTTAAAATTATTTTTTTATTTAGATTTCTGGAACACCATCATGTGTTGAAAATGCAAAACAAGCCATTCTTGATAAATGTAAAGCTTTGGAAGCTGAACGACAAGATAGAGCTTTGAAATCATTTGAATTGAAGGTAAATTTACTATATATAATAATTATTAATAATATATTATTATAATATAATATTTTGAAAAATTATAAATAAATTTATTTAACTAATTTTATTTTAGATTGAAGTTGATCCAGAATATCATCCAAAAATAATTGGACGAAAAGGAGCCGTGATTAATAAGATACGTAGTGATCATGATGTTCAAATTAATTTTCCACGTAAAGGTGATCCTGAAGAACATATCATTACAATCACTGGTTACGAAAAAAATGCTTGTACCGCAAGAGATGATATTATGAAAATTGTTAATGAATTAGTAAGTATATTGCCTACTTAAGATTTATTTTATAAATATAATGATAATTAATGAAATATATTCACATAATTTAGAATGGCTTGACAAAAGAAGAAGTACATATAAATGCTGCTGTACATTCGCGTTTAATTGGTTCGAAAGGTAGAAATATTCGTAAAATAATGGATGAATTTAAAGTGGATATTAAATTTCCAAGGAAAACCGATCCTGATCCTAATATTGTAACAATTGTTGGTACAGAAGAAAATGTAGCTGATGCTAAGGATCGTTTGTTGAATTTAGAAGAAGAATATGTAAGTTTAATATAAAATATATGTAAAATCATTTATTTTCATAAAATCGATAAATAATTTTATATTACATAATATTTATTATATTTTAGATTCAAGATGTTTTAGAAAATGAATATCGCGAAAATTTGCGTTCACCTCAACGAGATGAAAGAAATTCTGGAAATTCAGGCTTTGTAGTAAAAGGAGGGCCGTGGGAACAGCAACAGCAAAGTGCTCCAAATACTGCTAGTGTTGAAGAGTTTCCACAATTTGCTGGATATTCTCACGTACCTGTGACTAATCCTGATGGTCCTTGGGGTGTGAAACGTTAATATTTATATAGAGTAAAAGTCAATGAAACATAAGATAAACATAATATATGAACTTTCCTCTGACAAACAATACAGAAGGGTACACACATTAGTGCTAGGTGGTTCCCTGTTCCATTACTGATGTTGCTGCATACGACCTGGCCACTCTATTGGACTCTGATACTGGTTTACTACATAACATTTGACGATGGTGTTTATATTTACAGTTCATATACTAATTACCTATGTATCTGTAACTGTAACGCATGATTTTAAGTTGATTGCCATGTTAGAAATATTCACACATACAGTCAGACGCAAATTGTGCGTAATTTCATTCACAAAAAAACATTTGATTTCTTCATAACTTTTAATTCTGCTAATATGCCTTTCAGGTACAGATATGTTGTACTTAAGACTGTGGCTTCTCTTGTAGGAACTAATTTTTTGTGTATATTATATATTTCCCAGATTGTCTCTATTCGTATAGATTGCGTGGCTAAATGCGTTTGCGTTTAACCAAGCATATTTTGTTAATTTATTTATATTTTTTGTACATATAAATTGCATTTTTTTGTTATGTTGGACTTAAGTGGAATTGTTTCTGAATTACATTATGATGATATTAGAGTCTATACAAATTTTTTGCAAAATGTGAAGCTTTAAGGTCTTTCTAAGGAAAACGTTCCTAAGTATAATTTTCCTGCTTTTTTATAGCTAGTATAATTAATAAAATCGCTTTATGCTCTTGAAATTGCAATGTGCTATAAAGTGAACAGATCTGCCAATAAAAGATAGTTGATCATGTATATTATTAAATGCTGGACTTAAGAAAAGCAGAAATTAGTGATTATATAATGTATATTGGAGGAACATAATCTTTAGAAAGCCTTGCTATTTTTGTACTGCTTTACGCAGTCATTAAAGAACAGATACGAAATCATTGGCATCATTAAAAGAAAAGAATCATGGATATTTATAATGCAAGTGATATGTCGTATTCTTTGAATAGCTGATTTTATTTATTCTTTCTATTTTACTGTTTGCTGTATGATGTGCAAATTTTTGCATTCTACTATTTATGAGGCCAACTAGCTAAGAAAAAAATATTCGGTTCAAGTGCCTTGTCTATTTTCTTCAGGACAGCTCATTTCAATTGTTGGAGGAATGTGAATATTAGATTATACATAATTATATATAAATATACATGTATATATATATGTATATTTACATATATATACATACACATATATATATAAATGTATATATATATACATTATATAAATATTGATAATAATTACATTATTATATATATACATATATATAATCAATATGATAGCTATTGTACTTGCAGGTACAATAATATACTACTATCACAAATAGATACTATCATGTATACAGAAATTCATCTATATTTTTTAGATTTACAGTAATTTTTATAAAACTACTTGGTACGACGACTTATATGTCATCTCCAATGCATGGTTTATACAAAATGCCAGAATTAGCAATTTTAATATGCTTAGTTTTGGCTAACAATTTGATAGATGCTGTGCATGAATGTACCTTTTCTAATGAATTATAAATACAAAGTAATTGTAATTATGAAATAATATTCTCTGTACACATTATGTCATAATATATAAATTCTCTACTGTAATAATATATATATATATATAATTAATCTATCTTAACAATAGATTAATTATATATATATATATAATTAATCTATTGTTAAGATAGTGTTATTTTTTCTTTTTTCTTTATAGCATTAAATAAATTATGAGACAATATATTATAATAACATTTGACATTTATTTATTATAACATAGTTGGAAGTGGTAATGTTTTTAATTGCTGTACAAATCCTTCATTAGGTTTAATACAATTTCTTATATTTTTTACCTTATTATATGCATCATCATATGATATTTTTTGAAGAGCCATTATATAAGATATAATAATCGCTGGTGAACGAGATATACCAGCATTACAATGTACAAGAATATTTTCATCGCGATGTTTGTGTATAATTCTGATACATTTTTTAATTACTACAATTAGATCAGACTCGGGTAAATCTAACAATTCACAATAATAATACTTAATGTCATCAAATTTTACTGGTACATCAATACCAATGCTTAAAACATGACGAATTTTATGTTCTTGTAATATTTCTTTGTTTATAATTGGATCTTGTGAGCTTAGGAATAATCCTTGTATTACTTGTGCAATCTGTAAATCAGGTTTATTATCTATCACAAATGGTGTTCCTGTAAAGGATAATTTCCTTTTTATTCCATTATATTCTTCATATTTTTGACCAAGTGTATTAGTTACAATAGTTTTACATTTTTTTAATTCTAATTTTTTATTTTTTATTAAACTGTTTAAATCCATTATCAATATGCAAATAATATATGAAGAAAAGAAAAAATAAAATTGATCAAAAAAATCATTTAATGGTATTTACATAAATTTGAAAAATGTATATTAAATTTCATCTGTATCTAATGGTATAATTGTATTATTATCAGAAATTTTGTATTTTACAATATATTCATTTAATTTTTCATGACAATATTCTACATTCATAAGATATAAACCATAAGATGGAGCTGTCTGTATCTGAGGAAGATAATTATGATGACCAGGAACTTGTAACATTACACTTATATCTTTTTCTGTTATTTTATCTGAACCTAGAGCAATTAAAGCACCAACAATTCGTCTAACCTATAAAAAAAAATATTAATAATATTAATATATCTATAATTATTATATATTTTAATCTATAATAATATAATATTTATAAAAAATTAATAATAAAATTAATATCTATATCCTTTATGTATGTGTGAATTTTATTTATTTATTTATTAAAAAAATATTTATTAATCATACTTGTTTATATAAGAAACCTTTTGCTGAACATATAATATTCCAATATTCAAAGTTTTGAGATAAAGGATCATTTGGCATAAGTGGATAACCTTTTTCTATAGTTAAACTATTCAAATTTCGTACATAATTAATTGATCTATTACTTATACTTTTTGAACAGAATGTTCTAAAATCTTTTGTTCCCATAAAAAGTTGTGTTGCACGTTTTATTCTTTCAGAATCAAAAGTATCTGATCTGTAATAAAAACAATTTATATAATTTTTTATACAATAAACATATTTATTATATTTTATATAATAAACATCTTTTTCACAAATATAAATTATACCTGACATGAAAACACTGATTTAATTCTGTAACGGGAATTCTATGTTCATCTTTATTTTTAGCTATTAAAAATCTATAAAGATAAGTTCTAGAGTTTACAAGTTTCCTTACATGAAAAGTCTTTTTTACTGGAATAAATTCTAATAATCTGAAAATAATATATAGCTAATTTGTGATTAAAAAATATAAAATAATATGATTAAAAAATATAAAAATTTTAAATATATATTTACCTTATATTATGATCACAATTAAGAAGATATCGATTCACAAATTTAAGTGTATCATTGGGATAATAAATAGAGTCATATTTATTTTTTATATCAATGTGAGCTAAATTACACATACTATGTACACCAATATCTGTTCTATGAATTTTAATTATTTTATAATTATTATATAATATATACTTATTCAATATAATGTTAAATATTAATTATATATATAATTAAATATTTACCTGCTAGAACAAGTTATCTTTGGCCATTCTATACATTTTGGTATTAAAGTTGTAAAAGCATTTTCCAAAACTCCTTGAATAGTATCAATATCACGTATTATAATATTTTCATCTTGAATTACATTTTTTTGCATTCCTCTAAATATAAAAATAAAATTTTTTTATGTTTTAATAATACTTTAATATTTAAATAATACATTTAAATATTTAAATAATATATATATAATATATATATAAATAATATAATAAATTTTTACTATTAAATTTCAGATTTTATTCTCTGTTATTTATATATTTTATATTTTCTTAACATTTTTTAATAATAATATTTTTTAATATTAAATTTAGAAATAAATTTATGATCTAAATATGTAAAATACATATGTATAATTATACCTATATTGTGTACCAAGATATGAAAATTTGATAAAATATCTTCTCATTTTTTAATTATAACGTGTTGCTAATTGTTTAATTTAAACTGAATAGAAATTTCTGATATAAAATTAACTTTTTGTAAAAAATACTTAACCTTAAAGTATTTACTTATATGAGTAAATTTATCGGTATAAATGCTAACATGGATATTTATACATGGATTTAAAAAAGATATTTATAAATTAATATAAATTAAATGCAATTATCTAACTATTCTAATAACAATAGCGTTATTTGAAACTACTTTTATTAATTTTATATTATTAAGTAATTTTATTATAAAACTATATATTATCAGAATGAAAAAATTTCGCAAAAAATTCAAGTTTTCTTACCAAATTTTTAATAATTATATTTTATAATTTTTAATAATTATATTAATAATTAATATTGTTTCTAAACCAATAAAAAAACTATTCAAATAATATCTCGTTGATTTTAATCAAATTGTAAATTTAATATATTTCAATTATTAATATTTTAATAAAAATGTATAAATTTATAATATAAATTAACTTGAATATTTCTGCATTTATTATCTATAATTTTTACGAAATTAAATATATTCAATTAATTTTTAAAAGAATTTATAAAAATATATAGAATAATATACATAAAAATATATCTACGTAATAAAATAATCATTAATTTGTGTAAGTAATAAAAGATTAAATCAAATTCTGTATAATTTATAAAGTTATTTATATTATATTAAATCGATTCGTTACAATTACGACAGTTTAGTCAATTTTGTTAGTTTTAATCTACTATTTTAGTATTTATTTGATTTAATAATGAAAATAAAATTCATTTGGAAAATTATCAAACAATATTTAACAAATTGCAGTATACATGGTGTTAAATATCTCGTAGACGATCAATTATCATATATAGAACGGTAATCGTATTTATTTAAAAAATTATTGTTAAAAATTGTAATTAAATAATTGATAGATAATAGATTTGAATAAATATATAAATATAATATTTTAATTTTTATATATATATATATGTTTTTTTATAAAAATTATTATTATATTTATTAATTATTTTTATATATATATATATTTTTTTATATATGTAAACAGAAAATTTACATATTTTAGAATTTTAAAATTTGAATTATACATATTGAATACATTTAATTAATCCAATGAATTAAAGAAATTTTATATTTTTATAATAACGATATTAATTTATTATATTAATTTACAGATTATTCTGGCTTATATTTTGTGTATTATGTTGGTGGGGTTGTACAAACATGATTAAAGATGTATTGATAAATTATGTTCAATATCCTGTTGCTTTAACTGCTGAAACTACTTATGTTGATTGGCAGATACCTTTTCCTGCCGTTGCTTTTTGTATTACTTCCGCTCCTATATTGAAAAGATATTTCATATTGTATGTTATATTAAAATTAAAATGGTTTATTATTTTATATTACAATTGAAACTAATTTTTATAAACTCGAATTTTTTAAAGATATTTCTAAAAACATCTAATTATCAATTTCTAAGAATAAAATATAAATAAATGTTTTTAAGGAATCCAGGATCATTCACCGATGCGCCTCGAAAAGTTTTTAAATATTCATCTGAAGAACTTCTGTCTTTCTACGAAGAGGTGAAGAATTATTACTTATTTTTATTTTTTATTTAATTTTTATGAAATTAAATATATTATATTTATTGAATATAGAACAAATTAATATATTATAAATATTTATTATAGATACGTATTCCTTGTAAAGAGTTCTTTGCGGAATGCAGTTGGAACAATATAAAATTCGATTGTTGTACTAAATTCCAGGAATTAAGAAAAACTGGTGTGGGTTATTGCCTTGCGATAAATACATTTCATTTGAAAAAATTTGATAAATCGAATGTGCATTTCTTTGTAAATCGTACCGTGAAATATGGTGATCTTATCATTGATATTTCTGTAGATGCAAGAATGAAGCAACATCTTTATAATGGATTTACAGTTCGTATCTATTTTTTAATATTTTAATTTAATTAATAATTCACCAATTTTCATTTTATTGCAATGATTTTAGCTGAAATTCAAAATAATTTAGAATTGAAATTATTAAATAATTAATTTTTAATTCTTAATCACTTTAATATAATTTTTATAAAGATATCTTATATACATATATCTTATAAACAATATTATATTTATAAACAATATAATAAACAATATTATTAACAATATTCAATAATCTAAAAAAAAGTTATCGAAAAATTACAATTATTATTGAAGAAATATGGTAGCACATTATAAAAACTTCTTAAAAAAGTAAAATAAACACATAAAAAACAGAGATTTAAACTCACATTGTTGATTTTTAATAAAGCTTTCTAAAATTCCATTAGCAATACAATTAGTTTTATCAATTGTCTGAGGTCATGTTAAAATAATATATAATAATATCACTAATTATTGAGTATTTATAAATAAGTATGATAATAATGCTAATTTATATAATATTATATTTATTATATTTATATTGTTATAATAATAGTAATCAATGACGGGCAATTATCTCTATTACATATTTTTATTTTATTTTTATATTAAAAACAAAAATAATTTTGTAACTTTTTTCGATATTTTTCTTAATCTAGAATCTATTCTATCACATAGATTATGATTAGTTTTTGAAATAAATTAAAAAATACTAGCAAAAATGAATGTTTTTGGCATTTTTTTAACTTTAATTATTATTTAAACATATTTAAATGTTTATAATTTAATAATTTATTATTTTCGTGAGAATTCATAGAATCATTTTATGAATTGCTATACTTATAATAATAATATTTGAATAATTACTATTGAATAATTATCATTGTGAGAATACAAAACATTTTCAAAGTTGAAAAATTGTAATTTTTTTAAAATTGATTTCTTAAACAATCATGGAAAAATTTTTTTGCAGATTCATATTTAATATATTAAAATTTATAGGAAATGCCTATTGAAGATTATAAAATCATATAAGATATATGTTGAAATATTATTAATATTTTTTAATATTATTAATATATAATATATTTTGACACATTTCGAAAAAATGTTTTATTATATAATTATTTAAAGAAAAAAAAAAGAAAACAATTGATAAAAATTATGCAATTTTAGGTACATGTTCTCAACAATTTACAGTTACCAATATTTAAAACCTTGAGTCATGTAATTTTAAAAATCGGACACACAACTCGAGTTGGATTTACAATGGAAGATACATTTAATGAGGATGGCGTAAAAAAAATTGCGATCGAACACAGAGGTTGTCGATTTTCTGATGAAAAACGAGCATACAATTTATTTGACATTTATAGTAGAGATTCATGTTATGTAGAAGTACGTTAATTTTTCTCTTTCAGAACAAATATACCAAATCTTTTTCAAATATTATACTTATTATCCATCATCAATCAATTAAAGAATTTCATATAATTTATGATTCCACATTAATAGTAAAAAATGAATGCTATTTGTAGATAATTATAGAACGGATGATAAAGCTCTGTGGTTGCGTAAATTTTTATTATTTTGTGCCTCATGGAACAAGAGTTTGCAATAGTACGGAAATGTCTTGCATATATGCTAATAAAATGAATTTCAATATGCAATCACTTATGGATGAATGTGTTCCGGATTGTGAAGGAACATCATTGGCTGTGTATGAATCCTATAAAAATATTAATAATTGAAAATGTCTTAATATAAAAAAAATATATAGATTGTATTTTAGATTATAAATAACATTTTTTTAAGCATAAAGCATTATGTGATTTAATTTTTAAACATAAAATGTTTATTAATTTTTTTTTTAAAATTAACTTACGATATTTTTAAATATAATATGATATTTTGTATTATAGGGAACAATTGCTTGAATCTTATAAATATGATCCTTTAGGTGAAAAATATACACGTCTTCATTTTACTTTGCTTTCACATCCAATGATACGATATCGTCGATATGTAGTCAACGATCTTTTAAACGTTACAGGTAATTTGATTATTATTATTATGAGCGATTATAATTCTATCTATTTAAACCATATATCATTTGATAAAACAAATGAAAATTATTTATTCAAAGTTAAATATTTATGCTTCTTTTTTTTTTTAAATTTCCTTTATGATTAATGCTATTGTCATTATCAAACAAATAATGTTTCCGGCAAATTAATGAAGAAATTGCGAAAAGATATAAAGTCACCTTCAAAAATTCAGATAAAAATCTTACAAAAAACTATATTTTTTATTCGGATTTCATATATAGATAATATATAAATAATTTAATTAATTATAGAACTATAAAATGTAATGTTATACAAAATATTTTGTTTCATAAAGTAATCAATTTTTTATTTGTTTGAGATAAAGATGTATATATTATGTAATGATCAAGATATAGAATATACTCATTATCATTCTTAAATATAATCTTTTGCTATTATCAATTGTTTAACATATGTATCTCTTATTGTGATTACCATATAGGAAAATTTTTACTTGTTATATATGAATACATTGAAGCTATAATTTATTATATTATAGCAAACAACTCTGATTTTGTGTTTGTAAAAAGATTTTTGATATTTTATCGATAAGTATCGTGTATTTCTAAATTTTTTTATGTCTGAAGAATCTTACATGATATTATCTTACAATATTATACTATAAAATTTTTTTTTATTATAATTTTATAATTTAATGATTTATTTTTAGTTTCAGTTGGAAGTGCAATTGGTCTTTTCATGGGTGCCAGTATTTTAAGTATCTTTGAAATACCATATTGGTTATTCATTCGTCGAGACAAAATAAGATCCTAATTTTATTGAATCAAAATATTAAAATATGTGAATAGAGATTAAATTTATATGATCTTTTTAATTATTGATTTTTTACACATTAAATGTAATTATTTCACGAATTTTGCATATTGTATATTTCAATAAAGAAAAGATAGAGCAAATATAGTTTAATAATATAGATAATAATATTCTATATTAACATGATCCGAAAATTTATTACTGTTTTATCTTTATATTATTTGTCGATAGATATGCATACGAAATTAAAGATAAGTATCCTCTTGTAAATACATCATAAATACATAAAGAAATCATTTTATCATTGATACTTATATAAAGACTATTCCACGATATGATACTTACTTTCTCAACCATGTCAAAATCAGAGTTAGAAATTGAAATCGCATCAGAATGCTTGAATGATAAAAAATTATTTTCTAATATTCATAGTTATAATTTGCTCACATTTCAAGAAGTGCAAACTCTAGTCAAACGTATCTCAAATGATAAAGCAGTTATACAAAAGTACTCTCTGAGATCATATTCTGATGGAAAGCTTGGATTTCTCGGATCCCATCAAAGGCTCAACATGGAAATTAAAACCACAAATGGAAAAGATATACTAACTTTTTTTGTTAAAACTGTACCATACGATTTACCAATTCAAGCTGAATATGTACTCGATAAATGTGTCTTTTTGAAAGAAAAAATTTTTTACCGTGACATAATTCCACAGTTATATCATAATTATAAAGGTGAACCATGGACGGCAACTTGTTTCTTAGTAAAAAAAAATTTGTTATTATTCGAAGATTTAAGTATCAAGGGTTACTCATTGAGAAATAAATTGTTCAACAAGGAACTCATTGTGTCTAGTTTAACAACCATTGCTAAATTACATGCATGCTCTTTGTTGGCAGAAGCATGTCTTGGAAAATCTCTGAAGGAATTATACCCGCAAGCTTTCATAGAAAATGCTTTCTCCGAGACTGGAAAGACTAGCGAATGGTTTGATGTAAGTGTGAATGCTATAGTTGCCATCGCTAAACATCTTAATCTGGATACTAGTTTAATACCAAAAACTTGTAAAGAAGTATATGCAGCTTTGAAAATGTCATCTATAAAAAAGAATGTAATTAGTCATGGAGATTTATGGGGAAATAATCTGATGTTTAATAATAGTGTACCTCCAAAGTGTCTGTTGATTGATTTTCAATTGATCAGATATTGTCCTTTGGCGCATGATGTAGCACAACTCCTATATCTTTGTACTGACCGTGATTTTCGAGTAACTTGGGAAAAAACTATGTTAAAGCATTACTATAGTGTGTTATGTGAAACTCTGAACTCAACAAAAACAATTTCTGTGGAAATTCCAGCTTGGTCAGAATTAATTGAAGGAATAGAAGAACAGAGATTAGCCGCTATAATTACTGCAGCTATATATTTTCAAACTGTATTATTAGATGAGAAATTAGGAGCAGAAATTTTGGGTGATCCTAATAGTTATCATGAATTTGAATTTAAAAATAGAAATGAAACAGTACTTAAACTTATGGAAATTGATCCAATATATAATAAACGTTTAACAGAAACTGTTACTGAGTTAGTTGAGTTTAGTTTTCGGTTAAATGAATTACCGAAACCAACATAATTTTTATTAGTTAATTAATAGAGCATATTTTTTTTGCACTTTAAGACAAGTTTTCAATAAAATATAATATTGTTAATTATTGCAAGATATTTTAAATATGTATTATATATGTATTATATATATATATATATATAAACATGGACATTGTATTTATCAGTATAATAAATAATTCATGAAATAAATTGTATCTGTATTCGTTTAGTGATTCATTAAAAAAGAGTAAATTATTTATCTTGCAATTTTACAAATAATTAATTTTTTAAATGTGAAAATAATATAAATAAACAAAATCAAAACAAAATTTATACTAAATCAATGTTCAATTTCTTCTCGATCTGGAAGTATAGTTGAGAGAAAAGACCAATTATGATCAACTAGTTGCACTTTTGTTTCATCAACATCATTGATTTCAATTATAGATGGTGATTCCTGTTTTTTTGATCGTGATAATTCTCCTTCACTTTCTTCAGCTGAATCTTCTTGTAAATCTTTTTGAGTTGTATTATCTCTATAAAAATTAAAATAAAAATAAGTTATATAAGTATTATATCATAATTTTTAATAAAATATAATAAATAACAAAAATTATTTAAAAATTTGTTCGATTATTTTCAAATTTGAATTTGAGTTTGAATTTATAATTTATTTGCAATGATTTGCTATAATTTATTAAAATTAAAAATTATATCAAATTACTTATCGATTTTATCATCTATTGATTGAGTTTTAGATACAGATGACGATAACAGGGATGTAATAAATGATGTACATAACATTTTCATGGGCGGTAAAGTGTGGGCTGAAACACTAAGGAGCTGAAACATAATTAATTCAAATATCAGAAATTACTAAATTTTTAATATATTAAGTATTTATTTGAGAGTAAGTAGTTGTTTGATTTATTTGTTTGTTTGAGAAATAAAAAAATGACGTGCGTTTATTTCTTTAATCATATTTATGATGTTGAGTGACGATCAATTAGTTAATTAGTCTTAAGGCTGACGCAAACACACTCCCAAACGAAAATTTCTGCAATTCCTGCAATCTTCTATTTCAAATCTAGGTTGACACGTTTCTTTCAACCTACACAAATATTCTTCTCAGTATATACTAATTTTCGTCAGAAAATAGCTAGAAAAGATGAAGCAAAAAACAAGTAATGTTACTGCGAAAAATCTAAATGTATACTCTGTATATTTAATATAATATAATTTCGCTTAATCGATATTTCTAACTAATAAAAAATTCCTTAAAGAATTGTTAATTTTTAAATTGTTAAAGTAATCTGATTGATTTTAAAAAAATTTATAAAAAAAAATATATAGAATAAATAAAATTAACAGTTGTTAAAAATGCATTAAAAATATATTTAAATGCATATATAGATAATATATAGATATAAATATAAAGATATCGTTTAATAAAATTATATAAAACAATAAATTATCAAAAATGAATTTAATTTCAAAGAAATAATACTAATTATATAAGTTTACAAGAGAATGCTAACTAACTTAAAACAATTTAACAAGATAGAATGCTCGTTTCGACATACACCTACATATAAAAGGAATACGATTTTATTAATAGGTAATGTAACAATCAGGACAGCTCCCGCGAGAGATAAGACTTTGTTCCTAGCTTCCCCAACAGGTTCGTCCTGACCTGGTTTTATCGGAACATTTGCAAATAGTTCCGGAACAGCGTTGAAAACCACCGTTCTCCATTTTGCATCGCAACGAAAATGAATAAAGGAACATATTGTCGAAAGTGTTGATTCTTTATTCTTAGTTTATTAATCTTTTGGAAGAATTAATTAAAAGAAAATTTAATTAATTTAATTAAATTTACTCTACGTGAATGTATCATTTTATCGGAATAAAATTATAAGAATGAAAAATTGAGAAATATTGAGAAAAAAATAAAATGTTAATTATTTGAAATTTTCAATAGGAAATGAATTATTAGATTAGATTTAGAAATTTAAGAAAACAAATTTAAAAAAATATTAATTTGAATATAAATATTGAAAATAAATATATCTGGTTCTTTGCTATACATTTTTAGGATGAATTATAAAGAGAAATAGTTACGAGATGACTGATAAAGAATTAAGTATTCTACAGAACTGACGTAATTTGTAAGAAAGTAGTGAGTTAGCGGATATCCGTCTACTGAAGTAACAACGTAGATATTGTCTAATTAATTACAAAGTACATGTTTTACGTTCACTTTTATGACATCATTAAACATCTTTGAATATTATATATATTATGCACCTATTATTTATATTTTGAAATATTTTCATAAATACTTAAAAAAATATAAAAATAAATTGTAATATATTTGTAATTGTAATATATTTTTTGAAAAGAATACAAACATTATATAAATAAATTTCTATTATCTATATGTATATAAATTTTATTTAAACTATATAAGATTTTATTCAAAAATTATATAAATAACAAGAATGTTTAATAATAAATAAAATTTTAATACGTTTAATATTTAATAATAAATAAAATCTTTTCTTTAAATAGTTAATAAAATTGTAGTTATTCCAATTTATTTCTATATGCATAAAATATGTAAATTAACATTTTCCTATAAATTTTCTATAAATGTTAAAAAGATGGCATGTACTAATCCCTTTGAAAAATCTTTAAAATTAATTATTCAAAATATAATGTATTTGTATTTTCCATATTATCATTAATGATTATGTGGCCTTAGGGACCGCAGAAACTCGGTGATGATCCTTAATTTGCTTAGCCTCCAGACGCTGAAAGCAATCTCCAAAATAGGACAAGATTTAACTTTTAGACAAGCTGATATTATCGTGTTCATTTAAATGATCGCACATAGAACGAGAGAGTATATAAGATAGTTTGAACAATGTTTCTTTCTTTCTCTATTTTCCGTTAACTTGTTGCTTGCTCACGATAAGGGAAACTCAGTCTATTGATTTTGTATTGGTTTTAAAGCAATTGAAATTTTATAATAGTATACATAGATGTGTCTAATCAAGTTCAATCTCTATTATTTTCGAGAATGTTTCCATGTGATAATCAGTTTATTTTTTAAACAACTTGTATTTTCAATCAGTCAATTATTTATATACCTTTTATCATTCCAGAAAGAAGTAAAAGAATGAGTAATGAGATGAAATATTATTTTTTCTTCTTTTTTTTTTTTTATTTTATGAAAAATATTAATATATTGTAGTTTAATATTTAGGAATTTTTTCAAACAATTCTTCAATGTTATTCGTGAAGAAATATTTAAAATTTAGATTTTTTAAAGATCTATTCAAGCTGTGATTTCAGGATATATTTAGATAATTTACAAAATCAAATCGAATTTATCATTTTTTTGAATAATGCGCAATTTTTGAAGGTTTTTTTGTCGAAGACAATGCCCTAGGTCAGAAGGACAACTGGAACGCCGTGAAAGGGTGGGAGTGCGGAGAAGTATTAAATCATAGCGAGGCCACTTCCAAAGTCAGTTCTACGTTGAACGTTCAGACAAGAAATTCTTCCTTGGTAACTATTCATCGATTGTTTTATCGAAAAATTTATTATTTTTTTCTCTTATTTTTTTCTTTATAAACATTTTTATGAAGTTTCATTCAATACTTTTATTATAAAATATAAAATACTATAAAAAAATAAATAAGAAAGAATAGGTAAATTTAAATAAAAGATATTGAAATCTTGTAAATAATATTCTACAACTTGTCTGATATTCTTCATTGAACTTAATTTCAGTTAATTTTTATGTTTAATAGAATTCTTCAAATATTTCATTAAAGTAAGCAGTAATAAGCTTATGATTGTGTTTCTGAAGTGAATCTTCTCGTGCATTAAAAAAAGTTAGAAGAAAATTTTGTTATCATTAACAATATCGGTTATGAAGTTAACAGCGTGGAGTTTTGTGTTGTGCATCCTGGTAACTATTTTCTTCCTGGCGGTTACCACGTCTGCATATCCTGCTAGCAATCCAGAAATAGTGAGTATCTCTTTTGATATTTTATCTTCTTTCGTAAAAATTGTGAAATTCAAATTTCGATACCACCTATAAGTTATTTCATTTTCCCTTGATTATTAAAAATTTCATTATATATATATATATATATATATATATATATATTTCATATTATGTATTTTTGTAAATTATTTAATATTATTTCTTGATGTGAATTTTGTTTGAAATTCAACCACGTGTTGAAAATGGCGCGTGGGCAATTGATTCATAAAATTGCGTTCCTCTTAAGGAGTTAGGTACATAGAAGCGGCAGAAAGAACAATATAATAGACAAACAGAGAAAGTCATGATCGCAATTCAACCTGTAATATAGAAAGTGAGAATGTCCTGCAAATATTTAAAAATTTTTAAATTGAAATGTAATTCTTTAAAATGAAGCAATTTCTTTTACTCCATCAATTATTAGTTATTTTATTCCAATCATTTAATTTTATTTTTATTAAAAAAAAAATAATAATAATAATCATTGTATAGCTCAAAGCGATAATTATAAAAAACCATGTTTTTCTGGATCAGAAAATGTTATCATTAGGTCGAGTTTGCATCGACAAAATAAAGCAAATAGATATAAGAGAATATACTACACGTGTATATCGATAATTTTATTTGGGATGACATAATTCAGTCATCGATATTACAAAAAACAAAGCTATATAATGGAGTTTCAAATTAATTTTATAATTTTTTATGTGCAAAATGTATCAAAAATAAAAAGAATTTTTTTATATTCATTCTATGAATTAACAAGAAGATAAATAGAAATTCATATTTTCCGCCTGCACGTGGGATGCATATGCAAGCAAGAGTGGACGTTGCTCGCAAGCGGTTCTTATTAAATCAATCTCTTTTCCTCCACTTGTATTGGTATATCTAATCAAATTGAACTGTAGGTGGTATCGTAAACATAGTTCATACTTGTGAGAATTCCTTTCGAATCATTCATTATTAATTTTGTAAAAGAAACTTATAATTTGACGAATTTCTTTTTAAATATTTATAAAATATTTTTTTGTATGTATATATATATGTAATGTATATGTATATGTATATATATTTTATTATAATATTAGAATTAAAATAAAATTGGAAGAAAATAGTAAATTTTTGTATAAAAATAATTTCAAGTTTTTTTTGTATAAAAATTTTTTCATTTACTAAAGAAATATGTTTAAAAATTTACTAATTATGTTTAAACTCAAATCTAAATTATATAAATGAAAATTGATTTTTTTTTAATGTATCATAAAGTACATGAAATTATTATAGAAGAAAAAATTCAAATTATAATTTTCTTTTATTGAACAATTGCTATGTTCTTTATATACTATTTATATTTGTTAAATAATTTGAATTTTATTAAATATAGTCAATTATTTTTTTAAGATGTATAACTTGCAGGCGATCGAAAATATGCGACAGATTCCGCAATGGCATTGTTTACGCTACAGAAAATTTGATCTCGTACGTCGCTGTCGGAATTACCGTTTAGGAAGAAAACATTGACAAATACAAAATCATCGCAATTCAAGATGGATGAATACAAATAAGTCATTATATTTTAAGTTTCATCGTCCAACTATTTTAAATATTCTACTCCATATGTTTAAACTTATATGACAAATGAATAATGAATAATAAAAATAAGAATAATAAAAATAACAAAAATGAATAACAAGTTATAATAATATTTCTATAGAAAATTTGTAAATTATTTATAAATTTAGTTCATAAATTGAGCAATATAAATAATATATATTTTAATTTAATTTTTTATATTGTATTATATATATT